GATAGGTAATCTGTCCTTGTAGACTAGTGATTTTTTTACAGATAGGACAGTTTCCATGATTGAAAAGGGTACTGCGAAAGACAGCTGCAAAACAAGTGTTGCACTGAACTATGCCTGACATTCTTACATACAAGGAATCATAGACGCACTTGCCCTGAATGTACTGCTGCTGTTTGATTTTTGGTTATATAATGTAATTATAAACATGTTATATAATGTAATTGTAAACATGTATAAGACAAAAAATGGGAGCTTTTTTAAAATATCAATAAAGTTTGTTGCAGCACCTCTCTGTTTTTGTCACCTATCTTTGATCATCTCCAAAAGGCACAAAATATTTGACTTTTCTTTCTATAAATTATACAGACAGCATTCTATGCCTTTCATAGACATAATATAATAGGACACAGTAATTGAAAATGTTGTTCAAAGAATATTCAACATATTGATAGTTCTGCTCATATTTTGTTTAAAACATCGAAACATAGAAAATGGATGGCAGAAAAAAACCTTGTGGTCTATTGAGCCCTCCCTTTGAGGTTTTTATTTTATGTTATTTTATTTTACATTTTTGTGGTTGATGGACCTGTGTTTATCCCAAGATTCATTCATATATGAGCTGCCTTCCCAATCTCCTTCTATTCTAACTCTGATAATGCCGGCAGTTTTTGGCCGGATGAAAGCTTAGTGACTCTTTTTAACCACAGGCTTGTTTATATTAAACAGGCTGGTTTATCATATCCTGGTGTTTGTTTTTTATTTTATTTGTTAATATATATATATATATGTATATGTATATGTATATGTATATGTATATGTATATGTATATGTATATGTATATTACCTTGAGTGCTTTTTGATGCACCCTGTCGACCCAAATATGGGAGAAAGAAATCTTTTGCCTGTATCAGCTCAAACTAGAGCCATCCACAGGCAGCAGTAACAACTGCGACATCATTTATATATTTTAAAATTTGGATTGCTAACAAAGAATTAAGGGAGAATGGAATAGCTATTTCGAACTTTTTAGCTCTCATCAGCCAAACATACCCTTCTGAGATTCGAACCTGGGCTGTCTGCATGTTAAGCAGCTGTGTTAACCTCTAGGCCACAGGCTCTTTCTCACTTTGTCAGCTATGTCAGGGAGGGATGAGACAGGGGAGGAGAATTACCTTGAGTGCTTTTTGATGCACCCTGTCGATTCTGTCGACCCAAAGATTTCTTTCTCCCATATTTGGGTCGACAGGGTACATCAAAAAGCACTCAAGGTAATTCTCCTCCCCTGTCTCTTCCCTCCCTGACACAGCTGATAAAGTGAGAAAGAGCCTGTCTCTTTGTTGCTCTTCTCTGTACTCTTTCTAGAGTCTCAACATCTTTTTTACATCGCGGTGACCAAAACTGGATGCAGTATTCCAAGTGTGGCCTTCCAAGGCATTGTAAAGTGGTATTAACACTTTGTTAATACCACTTTACAAAACAATTATCATTGTTTTGATAATGCACCAAAAAAGGGAACTGACTAAGGAATAGAACATTTGTTTAAATCTTTATTTGTATAGGATAAAGTTTTATTAGATGTTAATTTGAATCAAACACTTATATTCAAAGCCACAAAAGAATGGTTTAAAAATATAATTTAGAGGAGTATCTAAGCAAAAAAATAAATCTACCATATTTTGGATCAACCAGGTCAACAAAGCAATTCAGACTAATTTATGGCAAGCCATTACAAGAAGAAAAAAACAAAATAAAACAAGTATATCCTCACTACTGTACATAAATGGGAAAAGTCTGTGCTATTGAATTTGTGCCCAGAGTTAACAGATATTCCAGCTGAATTGCCAAAATAACTGGGGAAGAATCCCTCATGAACCCTGGAACCACCAGTACTTTACTAAACCTTATGCATTTCTCTTGCTTATAATCCAATACGGTGCTTTGGGGCATTCTCTTTCAGTGGTTGCCAGAAATTTCCCTTTTTAGCTTCTTAAGAATTCAAATGATAGATTTGTTTCTATCTTTTTCATGCATCCATTTCCATTGGATTTGGTGGACACTAGTCTATCTGCATCTGCTGGAATGCCCCTTTTTTCCTATAGCACAAGATTGCCAGTCTGCATTGCTTACTTGTATAATGTCAATATATTAGAAAATATAACTACAAAATTAATGGCTTCTTTAGTTTTACTGTGAACATAAAGGTACAGGTTTACCCTGTGAATATGCATAGAGCTTATTCTTATTTTTTTTCTTTTCACTCATACAATCAGGAATAATTATTATAATAATTAGTATAATATCCAGGATACATATTCTTGATGCAACAGATCAAAATTTGTAAACCTGTAAAAACTAATGTAACGCTGGCTTGCAGTTTTTATTTTCTGCATGAAAGGAATAAGTAAAGTGGGAATAATTGGGCTTATATGTACCAGCATGCTACTGATGCACAAGAAGTCAGATTAAGCAGAAATGTGCTTCCCCCCCCCCTTAGGGTATGTCTAATTGCTGATTTGATCTTCAAAAATGTATCTTTAATAAATCTGTTAAATTTCAATCTACCCCAGTTTTCATAATTTTTAAGAGATGGTACAAAGCACCATCAATAACCTCACCATTTAAATTAGATTCATGAGGTTTTTAATGATGCTTCTTCCTTTTTTAAAAAAAAATCAGATTGTTTAGCTGCAGTATTATAAAACAACAAAAACAGAAAAGAGTAACAAACACAATATTTTATGTCTTCTGCTGTTACATTAGCAAAACATCCTTAAGCAACTGAAATTGGGAATCAATTTAACTGTCAAAGGAGATAACTGTCAAAGAATGAGCCACACATTACATGAGAATGTTATGCTCTCCTAAAGGGTTTGAAAGCATAGTGACAGTGATCATTACTTAATTAAGTAACAGGATTCCCTCTCCCCTCTCCCTGCTAATACATGGTTGCTGAAATTTATGATTCTAGGCAGGCAAAACTCAGTTTACCTAACCCATTTAGAATAAGCTGTTGTGAAAATCAGCATCAAAATTAGCTTTTCTTAGACAAAGCTGAACAATATTTTTTAATAGCGTAACATCATGCTTTATAAGAAATGTATCTATTTACTAGAATACAGTTGCAAGAAGTAATACTTTGCTTCATCTTTTACCTTCAAGTGGATTCTCTTTCACTTTTGAGGGATTTTCTTCTTTATTTTGCTTTGCCTTTATTAGTTCACGTTTCAACTGGCGAACTTCCTTCCGTAGTTCCTCACTGCACAGAACAATGTTTAGATAAATTCAATTTTCTTAACAAAATAAAGTCAGGGGAAAATAGACACAAAATTAATAGTTGAATCTCTATACAGACATAATAATCATAATCTGATTCTGCTGGGTTTAACTGAAGTCAACTGTCTTCAGCCTGTGCAAGTTCAAAAATTGTACAGGCAGAAACTCTGTTTATATAAATCGAACTACAAATTAAAAAAAAAATCTTAAATGGACATTATGAAAGGTTCTGAAAGTTCACTAAGTCCAAGCCAGTAAAATTTTTCAGCTGCTTTTTGAAACAACTGAAGCAAATAAGCAACTGTTCTGGTAGATTACAATCACCATTGGAATACAGCTTTCATTTTGATCCCTATGAATTGACTACTTAACACATTGTTTAAATATAGGATTATCACTGAACATACTAATGAGTATTTCCCAGTGGATACTCTGAAGGCTGCACATAGCTCCAAAGCTTTTTACAAAATGGTCTGGCACTCCAATTCCAAAATTAATTTACAAATAACCAAATTGCAGAGGTAAAATTTCCTAGTGATTATCAATAAAACCGAAGGAAAAGGGCATGTCAGCCTTTGTTATACACAAACAAAGATGAACTTTTAGCACCAAATAAAAGAAATTGCAACAGCAATCTTAAGTGGCATATAAATTTAATAAATTATCATTATCTTCACCTTCATCATCATCTGCCATGTTTTTAGCTTCAATTTTATATATATTTAATCAATAGGATCCTTTTGTCCCCTATTTTACTTTCCAATACTAGGAGTTATTTTCTAGTGCAAAGTTCTCCAAAGTCTCAGTATTTATACATATTTGACTTTGTAAACTAGTCTATGAAATCTTACAAAAAGCAGAAATTAGTCAATTTTTTTAAAAAAATCAACAGAAGCTATAAAGTGAAGGGATACAGGTATGATGGCGAAGTTACCCTGTTAACCCCAGGGTATTTGTTGGATACAATAGAGAGGCTTCTGTATTGTTGTCTATTCTATGCTTGGATCTTCTATGGGTAAACTAATGACCTCACATCCAGGGATTATCAGTCTGGATAATTCATTCAGAATTTACCACTATAGAGTTAAAGAGCATTACTCAAGAGAAGGCAGCCAAGTCTGAAATAATAGATGCATTAAAGGGCATTGTCAGTGCTGTGGGGTTAAGCTAACACAGCACATTCCAGGATTAGCTCTGACTGTAGCTATTTGCTCTAAGTTTTCATAATGGTAATTCAACTTCATTTTAATAAATAAAAGCAACAATGACAAAATAAGACTTAAACAAAAGATTTGCATTTCTTTTCTTATTTGAAACTGAATACTTATAAGAAAGTTATGTTATCCTTAGATGACATCAGTGGCGTATTTTATTCCTGCATATTGCAGGAATAAAAACAGAAGTCACTAAGCTATCTAGGCAGAAAAAAAGAAAAAAAATGCTGGGTGGAAATCTAATGCTGTAGTTCTATGTGTATTTACTAGGGGAATAAAGCTAAACTGGTCTCAAATGGGATTTTCTTCTGAGTAAGCATGCACATGACTGCATATACACGATAGCATTGCTTTTTCTTTGTGGGTGTGAAACAGCACTGTGGATTTATTGACATTGACTTTAAAATTCTCACTCCCCAGCCACAGGAAATCACTGAAATTGCATTTTTCTGAGGAGGTCCCAATATCTCAACGAAATGTCAGCACTCCCAACATTCTTCCTGAGAATGCTGACTGCAACATTTGCATATCTGTAGTGTACATTTGCTCTTATTAAGTATTTACAGCACAACTCAAACAGAAAATGGTGGTTTTTTTTTAATGCATTCAGCTTGCACCAACCTCAATTAAGCATGTTAAGGTCTTACTGATTTGGATTGTAATGTTACTTAGCTGCTTAAACTCGTCCTGAAAATTATCCAAAATTGATAAGATTGTGTTTTCATTTGGGGGGAACTTTCTTCATGAGTTGTTTTGCAATTAATATTTTGTGCAGAACAACTAAACGTTACTTGATTTAATCAGTGGGTTTAGTACACTCTTTTGAAGCTTGATGTTTTTGAAAAATAATAAAAATATTCAGTTATTACTACTTCAAGTATACCTTCAGTAGGACTCATCATTTGACTAGGAGAGAAATTTCATGTTGATTATCAGCTCTACAGACATTTTCTTCTTTAATTTAATTAAGTAAATATAGATGTTGGTAAGATGAATTGGTTGTTAACTACACAGACAATTAAGTCAAGTGTATTCTTGATTTGGGATGTTGTAAGACAGTGGTTCTCAACCTTTTTAATGCCACGACCCCAACCGGTCGTAAGTCGAGGACTAAACCGGTCATAAGTCGAGGACTAAACTGGTCATAAGTCGAGGACTACCCAACCAGTCGTAAGTCGAGGACTTTCCCTGCCCGAAAGCGCCGTGCATGCGTGGTTCCGCCCCCTGCACCGGCCGAGGCGTAGCTGGCAAGTGGCAGAGACGGAGCAGGCCGACCACCAGCTGGCCCAGGCCAAGGGAGGTAAGGCACCCGCTGGAAAAGGGGGAAAAAATGGCGGACAAAAAAAATGGCAGACAGCCTTGCTTGGCGACCCCCATGAAATGGTCGATCGACCCCAAATGGGGTCCCGACCCACAGGTTGAGAACCACTGTTGTAAGAGAAGCCACTTAACTATTCCCTCATTTCCCCTATCAAAATCATACCTGATGTACAAGAGATGATTATCAGCTCTACAAACATTTTCTTTTAAAATTTATTTAACTAAATGTAGATGTTGGGAAGATGAATAGATTGTTAGCTGTGCAAATATCCCAGTCAGGTGTGTTCCTGGGCTGAGATGTTGGAAGAGAATAGTTTCTTAACTATTACCTCATTTCCCCTTTCAAGAATATACTTGATTTGTATATTCATGCTCCAGTAACAGAGATGGTAGTCAGGGACTATTGATTATAAAAGTAAAAAATTAACCTCTGTATTGAGAATGTATAGATATATGCATAAAAATGTAACATTCCACTCTCAAACATAATGCACAAAACCAATATATCGAATATATCGTTCCAGTTCAACTACACTTCATTAAAATGCACAAACATTTGAAAAAGGCAGTTAGGAATTTTCTGAGTGTTATATATTTGGTTGTACATTCTTTGGAAATCTTTTATTATTGGAAATAATAAAGCAAAGTGAATCATGATTAAGAGGTATTTCTGGGATAAATGTCATGGGAGAAAGGCTTGGATTTTTTTCTTTGTAGACATCAGCACGTGCAAAAAATAAAAGAGAATGTCCTTTACTCTGAACCATGTGAAAATACAGCTAATATTAGTGCATAGACTTGATAAAATAATTATATTTGAAAATATGATGACAGTAAGAATTTAATAATGGTGGCAATAAATTCTTACTATTTAAAACATAGCAGAAATAATTATTAATCAACAGTCTGGTGTGAAACTAGACTGTTGTTCAGTACAGTTTTAAATTATTGATTTAATTTTAAATTATTGATTTAATCAACTGCTTTAATATTTTTCAACCTGTTTTATCGATCTGTTAATACTGCTACATAACAGTTTTTAAATTTAGAATATTTGCTTGCATGCTGCTTTGAGAAAGCTCACTTCAAAAGATAGCACAAATATATTCTAAAATAAATGAGGAATGAAACTTTAAGGATTGCAAGAAAGTTACTTATAGGGAGCACAGATTATTCTGAGAATGAGCCACCTCAAAGAAAACAATTCTTGGAATATTCAATTGTTCTGATTAACTCAATTTTATTTTACATCACACTAATGACAATCATGAGAAAACTAAAACAGGATCGCAAAAGCATAGGCCAAGAGAGGTTTACCAATCAGTGACATGTGTATGTAAGCCCCTTTATTATTTACTTGATTTATATCAGGGCTGTGGAGTCGGAGTCGGAGTCGNTTTTTGCAGGACTAGAGACACTTGTATAAGTGAAGGGAATGGAGGGTCAATAGTTCAAGACTGAAGCTGTAAACCATTGGAAAAACTGCTGTCATTCAGCTAAGGCTATAAAAACTTGTAAACTCCGATTGTTAGCTTATTAATACAGAGGAGTCGGAGTCGGGGAGTCGGAAGTACAAAAAACTGAGGAGTCGGAGTCAGAGTCGGAACATTTATCTACCGACTCCACAGCCCTGATTTATATCATGTCTTTTTATCAAGAACTCCCCCCCCCCATTTTCATTGATAAGAAAAGCTCTGTGATGTAGGTTGGGCTGAAAGAGTCCAATTGGCTCAGCTTAACCAATAAACATGACTGATGGTAAACTTAAAGCCGGGTCTCACCAGTATCGTCCAATATCTTAATTACCACACCACACTGGCTCTTTTAATGTCTTATTTATTATTTTAATAAATACTCATCCATTGACAGAAGACATGGCTTTTACATGGGGGAAAAGTGTAAAGAAGCATATTATACTACCAGCTATTTGAGAATATTTTGTATGTATAAAAAGGTATTTGAGCTGTATATGTGTGTTGATACGCTTGTAATGTCTACTGTTCACTATTTTCTGGATTACTGTAGCTCTTGAAATGAATTCAAGATTAAACCCTTACCATTATCTATAAGAATGAAAGTTACCATTGGAAAATAGTTTCCTGGTATGCATGTTGTTGTGCAAATTTTCTAAGAACAAGTGCCATAGCAGATTTTCGCTTATCGTGTAGAGTATTGCTTTTACATTTTTACAAAATAGACGTTACTATTTTCCTGCAGAATAAGTGCTTTGGATTATTTGAAAAGTGCTGTTACTGCATATTTTAATGTTTTTTCTTGATATGACTCATGCAGCAAACATAACAACAACAAAAGTACACCTCCCTCCAAGTTTTCCTGAATTTCAAATAATCATATCCAACCAACATAACTAGCAAATGGGTACAAAGGTTGTAGAGCAAAGCATAAACCACTCCAAAACTAGACCTGTCTCAAAGAAGAGTTCCCACAC